CTTCACTGTTTCTCCTCCTCTGTTCAGGTCTTCTCCATGTGGAGCCATGATGCAGACATAGATAGACACAGTCCAGAGGTCCAGAACTGAGAAGGTTCTGCTGCTCTCAGCTCGTTGTAGAACCATGTTCATGCAGGTGGACTGATGGGAACCACAGCTGGACTCAGTTTGGTTCAAGTCTTTGTTTTTCAAGGTCTACATGAGCAGAACCTCATGGTCCAGTCACTGGGAGCTGATACAGTTCAGAGTCATTTGACGCTCTGCTGTGTTCTGCATGTTTCAGTGGACCGGGCTGGTTTTAGAACTTGTGTGTCTTCAACGAGCTGTTTAATGGCTCAGAGTACGTACTGGACGTTCCCCACCATGTCCAGCAGCTTCTCATGGATCACTCTGACCACCTCGAAGCTGCAGACACACAGAATAAAGACAATGAAGAAAGCCCCACGGCCGGGTCGGCACCACAGCCGGGTCAGCACCACGGCTGGGTCGGCACCACGGCTGGGTCAGCACCACGGCCGGGTCAGCACCACGGCTGGGTCAGCACCACGGCCGGGTCGGCACCACGGCTGGGTCAGCACCACGGCCGGGTCGGCACCACGGCTGGGTCGGCACCACGGCCGGGTCGGCACCACGGCTGGGTCGGCACCACAGCCGGGTCAGCACCACAGCCGGGTCGGCACCACGTGCAGCTCTGTGGCGATAAGGAGGAAGGACGGAGGTGTGGCTGCTTCACAGGAAGTCAGAGAAGGTGAAGTTACCTTTTGTAGGACGTCACAGAGTAGATGAGGATGTAGCCGTCCACGTCGATGGTGTAGCTCTGAGGGAAGATGGAGTACTCATCCTGCAACACACACACACACACACACACACACACACACACACACACACACACACACACAGCGTCCAGGTTTGTGATACGTCTGAGCTTTCAGATGCAGCTCTCTGACTACCTGCAGGTGAGCTCACCTGGCCAGCCGTGTCGACCAGCTGCAGGTTGTACTCCTGGCCGTTCACCGTCATCGTCTTGGTGAACGCTGAGACACAGTTTAAGAAAGTTTAGTTCCAGCAGTCAGGAGGGACAGAGCATGAGCAGTGAAGCAGAGCTGAGGCGGCGCCGTCCTTACTGTTCTCTATGGTGGGATCGTAGGAGTCCACAAACTGGCCCTCCACGAACTGGATGGTGAGAGAAGACTTCCCTGAAATCAGACGCCTCCCGTTAAAGAGTGAAGGTTATAACAACTAAAACACGACGCTGTTGCTACGCCTCACAGCTGATATGTTACTCATATGGACTCTTTTGGAGTGAATGTCTTCAGAAGCGCCAGCAGAACGTTTGGTTCTGACACGTGTACATGCAGCGACACGAGCTCCGGCCGGCAGCGTTCTCCCACATGTGACGATAAGTTTCCCTCAAGAGCCTCCAAACAAACTCTGTCAGAAAGCCGACGTGAGTCCAGAAGGTCGTCAGTTAATTACAAGAATAAAATGAAAACAATGAATTAAAGGGATTGAGCTGGACGTGGGAGACACCTGCACCAATCACACGTCTCACAGCTGATGTTTTCAATAAGGAGACGTTACTTTGAACAGATCTGGTCTCACGCTGACATCACAGTGTTTTGATGTGACTTCCTGTCAAACAGCCAAATTCAAACTCGGTCAGCTTGTCTGAATGTTAAAAAGCAATAAAAGAGAAACGCTTCCAGATGTGCTGACCCTTCCTGGAGGCCTTCATCGTAGCTCATCGTCCTCTCTCTGCTTCACCGTCACCCCGACCGGCCGGAGCAGAACTCCGTCCTCTCTGGGCCCGGTTCTGACGAAGGTTTCTACCTTCAAATAATGTACTTTGGCAAATGGCGACGTTTAAATAGAACTCAGCTGAGATGAAACACCTGGATGATGCAGCATCAGGACCACACCTGCCGCACATTCTGATTGGCTGCCAGCTGACCAATCCTGGCTTGTGGTTGTAGGTCAGTGCTGCTACTCCCTCCGTTGTCTCTCTAATTAGACAAGTCAGCAGCACAAGGAGTCGAACAGCTTCATGCCATGAGGTCCACATCTCCCCGCAGAACCAGCTTTCTGGCCACTAACGCCAGAGCTGCATCCACACGGACGCTGAGAAAGTCTCTGTTTGCTGCAGGTACCAACACGACGAGGACTTACCCACCGACCTGTAGCCCAGCACGGCGATTTTCCGGGATTTTGGCAGCGGCATGGTCTGATTTGGAGCATCCAGACGAGCGGACGGAGCATCAGAGCCTCTGCATCATCTCCCCGGAGCGGCCGGACCCGGTAACGAGCCCCGCCGCTGATTGGACACGCACACGTACGGAGGCGGGCCTTCGTTATGAGCGCGCTTTCCGTTTGGTTTAAAACGGACAGCCGGTTCCCGAAGGCGGCGGTCATTGGACAAATCAGGCTGGCTTCAGCCAATCGGAGAGCAGAAGACGACAGAGTGGGCGGGAGCAGCGGTGTAAACAGCAGCTCATATGTTAGCTCCGAGGCGGCTAAGCTAATTAGCTTTCCCCTCCCTCAACCCGTCCCCCTGCTCTTTGGACCTCCGGACCTCCGGACCTCGGTTTAAATGGCTGCCGTGGCCCTGAAGTGCACCGCTCCCTGGCGCTTCGTCAAACTAAGAAGGTGACACTCGCACTAACAATGTCAGCTGATGCTAAAGCTCTCATGTCCGTGTTTGAAGCGGCTAATTAGCAGTTTAGCCGCTCGCTGCACTGAACCCTGAGCGGGTCGAGCTCGGTGAAGGAGCTGCTAAAGGTTAGCTTGGCTGTTAGCATTCACCGAGAGGCGCTGCTGACGTATCTGATTGGCTAGCTGCTGTTCGCCGCTCCTGCATGAATGAACCGAGGATGAGCTAGCATCAGTCAGGTGTGCTCCAGGTAGGGGTGAAGGAGACGAGCTCGGAGCCGCCGTGGTTTAGCCGGGAGGAGCTCGTTACTGATGCTAACAGACATCCTGCTCCAGGGTTCAGCTGCGACCTTTGCTCCAGATTCCTGCCGCCCTGCACCAGCCGGTCAGGGCAGCTCACAGCTTGAATACAGCGAGGAAAAGAACTAACATTAATACAGTTATTTAAAAAAACAAACAAGTAATGTCCCCTCTATGGACAGGACTTAACTAATTAATTAGACCACCTTCAGAAAAACGAGAAAACATGAATATTTTAGAAATCTTTCAAAAAAAAACTTGTTTAAAACTACAAATGTTATTTTTATTTATTCGACAAAGAACAAACAAACAACTAGCTATCTTTTCCACACATAATTACTGTGCTGTTGGCCTTCCTAACTCTGTGGACCTTTGGGCAGCAGTCGTTTGGGCTGAGGAGCTTCAACCCCTCCACCTGGTCACCAGTCCTCTCCTGATGTCACAAGTTAGCTGGAAACAAGCTGCACACTTGCTGAACGTGTGCACCTGTAGACGCTGCATTTTACTGATGTTCCTTAAACGCCTCACCTGGACTGGCCAGGTGGATGCAGTGCCTCTGGCAGGTGGCCGACCAAACATTTGTGGGATAGCGATGGAAAGAGCGTTGTGATGTCAGATCTGTCTGAAATGAGACGACAGCAGACAGCCAGCGGTAACGTGGTGGTTTAATTATTGGTTCCCTGTGTGTGTCCAGTCTGGTCAGGTCCACCGTTCCCAGTCTGAAGTTCCACACCACAGCGTCTCCAATGATGGGTGAGTATCTGCTGCAGCTGCACCACAGAGAACACACATTCAATACGCTCCCTCGTTTTAGTCGTTTTGTGTGTCGTTTGGTCGTTTTGTGTGCCAGTGGCAGTAAACAGGGAATACACGTCAGTCATGTTGATGCTGCACAGAACCCTCTGAATGTGGTAAACAGTGATATTGTGTCTTATATTGATACAGAGGCTTTTAAATGTAGAAAATAACCGTAATGAAGTCCAGTTCTTCTAAATCTGGGTTTGGTGGTGTTTGCATAAAACCTCAGGAGGCACAAAGTTCACCAGGCTGCTCCCTCTGAAGCCTTATTCAGCTCAGGAATGCAGAACTGGCAGCGTTATCTGCAGTTAGCACACTAGAATCATTAGTGAAGCGGGTCGACAGAACTGTTTGTGCCGAGCCGTGGCTTGCTCACCAGGAGGCGATCCGTGTGTTTGCAGCTGCGACGGTGGAGCAGTTCGAGCAGGCGAAGAGCAACCTGTCGACGCTGAAGAACGACCCGGGGAACGAGGTCAAGCTGAAGATCTACGCTCTGTTCAAACAGGTGGGAGCTCTGAAAAACTCCAGTCTCGTGTTTCTTCTGTTGTGAAATCCACAACAAAATGCTGGTGAGCCCAGAACACAGGAGCTAACCAGGTAGATGTGTGTCAGAGCAGCAGCACCTTCTGCAGCGGTTAGCGGCTGCTTCCTCTCATTTTCCTCCTGCAGCTCTCCAGAACCAGAACATGAAGGAGGAGAGAACTCAGATGTCTTCTGTCAGCAGGACGGTGGAAACCAGAGAGGAGGATCGTTTCTTTGATGGATTTGATTCTTGTTTTGTGACAGTTCAGTCTCTGTCTGGTTGTTTTGTCTCCTCATGCTGTAGATATCAAACTATCTCCACGTTTCCAGCCTCTGCAGACTTTCTCTCTCTGCTCTGCTCGTCAAACGACACAAATAAGTCAATGAAGAGAAACTTACAACAAGCTGAAGGACTGTAGATTCTCTGAAATGTACAAACCCTTCATAATGTCCACGTTTAATGCGCTGATGTGGCGTCTGGGGTGATTTTTATGTATTTTTTACAGGATCTAGTCGAAGCAGACGCTTTATTCTTGGAGATCTTTGAAAGCAGATGTGTGGAATGATGTGATTTGATTGAATGTCACGTCGTTAAGCTTCGATTTGGTTCGTTTTCTAGTGAAAATCCATCCTTTGGTTCCGTTTGTTGTCACAGTTTGTGGCTGACAGTCGGTGCCCTGGTTGTAGTTTTCTTGTTTTTGTTTTTTTATGTCTAAAAAAAGAATAATTTCGGGTTCAGAGTCGTAGTTTGTGATCATTCTGAGAGCTGCTTTTGTGTTGTGTTGATTAGAAAGCAGCTTGATTCACACGTAAACAAACCGTAGACGCTGGTGTCCAAACACTAGGGGGCGACAAAATCCATCATTTGATTGTCATGGAACGTTCTGACAGAACTATAGAAGCCCTGAGTTGACTGTGATGTGACTAACTGAAGCGTGCTCCTCCTGCAGGCCACTCAGGGGCCCTGCAACACGCCCAAACCGGGGATGCTGGACTTTGTCAACAAGGTCAAATGGGATGCGTGGAAGGCTCTGGGCTCCATATCACAGGTACGACTGCTCCAGGATCCAGCCTCAGAGCTGCAAACATGAACACACTGTTTAATCCATTCAGCGGTTCCAGTCGGGTTTTGTGATCGCAGCTTCCTAAATGTGGATGTTTTCTGGTTTCTGTCCTCTCTGACAATAGACTGAATATCTGTAGCAGTCGGTTTGTCACCGTTTTCTGGCATCTTATAGAGCAAACGACTAGACAGTAGGTTCCCTGATCTCCAACGAGAACGATGACGATGGAAGAAACACTGATCCTGAAACCTGGTGGGAGTTCAGTCCTGTTGGCTTCTGATTCTAATCGCAGGTTATTCTCTGATCTGTTAATTAATTGTTTTTGTTTGTGACGTGTCAGAAAAACATTATTTCCTGTTTCCTGTCGCATTTAACCAAGAAAACGGCAGCAAGTTGTAACGATGAAGAAAGTGATCAGATCGATCAGTTTAATCAGGACTAATGACGAGTATTTACAAAAGAAAGGACTCGTGTCAAAGTGAGAAGAGACTTCTACAAAGTAATGCCACTGAATTATATGTACCTCAGCCAGGTGATGTAGAAGTCCCACAGTCAGTAAACGCATCATCTGAGGTCAGTGAATGAGTCTCAGTGGTTGTAGTATAAAGACTCGTGTATCTGGAAGGTCCAGTCCCTGGTGGATCAGAACTACTGGATAGAACCACACCATGAAGACTGAAGAACCCTCTAAGAACTCTGGGAAAGGTTGTTGAGACGCATCAGTCAGGAGACGATACCAGAACATCTCCAAGTTCCTGAACATCTCTGGAGTCCAGTTCAAGCCATCATTAAGACATGGAAGGACTATGGACCATGAGGAGATCTGACTAGAGCAGGACGTCCTCAGAGACTGAGTGACCGAGCAAGAAGGAGACTAGAGAGGGAGGCCACCAGGACTCCTATGACTCCTCTGAAGGAGCTACTAGAAGGAGACTAGTGAAGGAGGCCACCAAGACTCCTATGACTCCTCTGAAGGAGGTGCTAGAAGGAGACTAGAGAGGGAGGCCACCAGGACTCCTATGAGTCACCAAGTCGTCTGTGGATCATTTAGTTTGTCTACGGTGAACATTTGATTTATTTATTATTGATGGAAGAGTCTTTTGTCTTTGGTTCACTCCAGAACTTTGCTTTTACACATTTAGAGTTTGAATAAACAAACCTTAAGGTAACGGGGTCACATCACAGAGAATCCGCTGCCTCCCTGTGAGCGGTGATGGAGGCAGACGTCTGCCTCGTGGTGAGGGCAGGGCGAAAAGCAAAACGGACACAAACGTTGCAAGCTGACAAACTGAATGTGATCTTTGCCTTCTCAGGATGAAGCCAGGCAGCAGTACTGCGACCTGGTTGGCTCCCTGGTGGCGGCGGAGGGCGGAAGCTCCGCCCAGGTGGCCGCACAGCCTGCTGGGAGCGGGGTGGCATACGAGACGCTGCTGGTCACCACCGAGGACGGCATCACCACCATCAAGCTGAACCGGCCGGCCAAGAAAAACGCCATCACGACGGAGGTGAGTCGGTGTTGGACGCTTTAGCCTGTGAGCCGCTGACGCCAGCGTCTCCGTGTATGCGGTCAGAACAACACCGACGCTCAACTCTTGATTCCTGGTTTCGTTTCAGATGTACAACGACATCATCGCAGCTCTGGAGCAGGCAGCTAAAGACGACTCGGTCATCACGATTTTTACTGGTACGGACACGGCGCCGGTCTCCTGCTGGGTTTGGTGAACTGCTCGCCTGGTTTCGACCCGGTGGGCTCAGTGAGAGTTTGATCGGATGAGAACGTGTCGAACACCGACTCGACTCGACGCCCGTAGAAATGACAGGAGGCGCTAACAGTCGGTCTGTTTCCCGTTTTGTGTCCTGACTTCACTCGTTGCGAGTCCTTGTTCTGACTCCGTGTCTCGTTGTTCTTATCTAGTCTCGTGTCTCTAGTCGGCTGACTTCCATGTGTTTAGCGCCACTTGGCCACACGTGTCATCATCTCGTAGCCCTTCACACGGTGAAGACCTGACAGAGTTCAACAAAGAGCAGAGAACCCAACAACCCAAAGCTGCCTTTAGGTTCCCTCTGAGCAAAGCAGGGGAAGGAACCACAGAACCCTCTGACGGGAGGAACACAACCAGACAGAACCAGGCTCAGGGAAGGACCTGGACCACGGTCTGCCTGGACCGGTCGGGGAGAGAGGGATGGTGGGGGGGTAGCAGGGTAGGAGATGGAGGTCGGTGAGAACAGAAACTGCAGATCAGCCCAGTGCATCATGGGAACCCCCCAGCAGCCTCAACCTGGTCTGTTTCTGGACCCACCAGTAGACCAGCAGCCTGAGAGTGAAGGGCTCTGTTAGGACGGTACCATAAGGTCCGTCAGGTGGGACGGAGCTGCTCACGGAGAGTTTCTGTGAAGCAGGATTTTAAACTGTAGAGAGAGAAGCTACAGGAGAAATACGATCTGTGTTTGTGGTGATCGAACTCTTTCCAGGGTCGGTGAACGTCTTCATGAACGCCGCTGCCTTCCAGTCTTGTTGGGTTCTGCTGTCAGATGAACCGCTGTTGACTCCGTCCGGATCCGGACCAGCAGTCTGATGCACTCTGCTGCTTCAGCCTGCTGATGTCTGACTGTTCTCATGTTCTCTTTTTTTTTTCCATTTTGTTTCTCGTTTTCGTCTTTTTTTTTGTTTTTTTAAAAATTTCCTCAGCAGTAAATGAGCTAAAACGATGTAAAATCACCACCGCGGCCTCCATGAAACGCTGCACAATCACCGTCACAAAAACAGGCATTAAATCACAACAAATACACAAAACTGCCACAAACTGAGCGGAGCAGAATCCAGAGTGTGTTTGCTGGACGCCCTGCAGGTGCCGGAGACTTCTACTGCAGCGGGAACGACCTGTCCAACTTCACCAAAATCCCAGAGGGAGGCGTGGAGCAGATGGCCAGAAGTGGAGGAGATCTGCTGCGGTCAGTCAGCGCCTGATTGGTTGATTGGTTGATTGATTAGCCGTGCTGTCAGAGATGCATCATGTGTTCCTTCAGCTCATAAAGCTGGAGACTGAATTATTCTGCCTGATGAATTGAACTGTTGATTATTTTTAAATAATCTGATTCTGTAAAATCCATGTGTTACATCACGTCGAGTAGAAAGCTTCATGTTTCTACTGTACGAAGCCGAGCCATCAGAACCGATGGGTTTTGTCCGTCCTCTCTGCAGGAAGTACGTGAAGGCCTACATCGACTTCCCGAAGCCGCTGGTCGCCGTGGTGAACGGACCGGCGGTGGGGATCTCCGTCACCGTGCTGGGACTGTTTGACCTGGTCTACGCTACAGAGAGGGTACACACACACACACACACACACACACACACACACAACCTGCAGATCAGGTTCACTCTGATAAATGATTTATTTTATTGATGGAATCATTGAAATCATAGATTTTAATTCTGTCATAGATTCATTAAAGGTCTTCTGGAAGTACGACAGACTGCTGATCATAAACATACAAACAGGAACTTGAACTATCAGCGTTGGTGGAAGTTGTGTTGATCACATGTTCTCAGCTTCATGGCCTCCTAACTTCTCCTGAGTGGTTCTGAT